AAAATCGAAACTGGGGACCGACATGGATTCTTCGGCAATGATGAATTGTTGAGCCCATACAAGAAACTCTTGAAATGTGGCAGGCTTATTTTGACATAAGGTCCAACGAAACATCGAATTGGGCCTCAACCCAGCAATGGCAGTTACTAACAAAGTTTCGGGATGACATGGCTCCATATTCTGAATCCGGTCATTAAATCGGGCTACATAATCTTTAACGGTCTCATCGTCTTTTTGCACGATATTAGTAATTGATTCTTTCGGAATGAGGCAAATCTGAGCACCGATAAAGTGTGACCGGAAAGCCGCACGTAGTTGCTGCCATTTCCATATCGAATGAGGTGGGAGAGTGTAATACCATTTCTGGGCTCGCGGCCCCAGTGTAAGCGAGAACATTCGACACCTCAGAGCATCTGAAGCTCCATGTAAATCCATCCAAGATGTGTAATGACCTAAATGAGCGTCTGGATCCGACGTCCCATCATACATACCGATTTGCGAAATCTTTACTTTGACAGGGAGTGGCTCCGCGGTAAGCTCGGGGGCTAACGGAGAATCTGCCTCAACAACAACATTTCCCGACGTCGCGACATGTCGGGGCGAATCTTCTTGTGACTTCTGTCGCATTTCAAGTTCGGCCAATCGTTTGCGGAGGGTTTCAATTTCCTCCGCACTGTGTCTTGAAAGACGGTTGCGCTCAATTTGGCGTCGTAAATCTTCGCGAGCGTGAGGTGCTGATGAGATGGGTCTAGGATGTGGGGAAACTCTCTGATGATGAGCAGAATGACTCTCAGCCGTCATCTCTTGCACAGGGGGTTGATCTTGGGCTTGATTGTTCGTTACGGGATTCACGATCACATGAACTGGTTCTTCTTGACGTGGAGAGGTATGACGAGGTTGGGATGTAGCATGCGACGTCGCAGCATGTGTTTCATGATCATGATGAATATTATTGGGATGCTCTGTTGGGTTAGTAGCCAAGGGCATCGTGCTCGAGTTTCTAGGCATGGCTCGAGCTATTAATGAAGACAAAC